ATCCTTCCAAATGTTGTACCAATGCCCTCATTTAAAATGGACTAATTCCTGCTTCGTGATTGTAATTTTCCTCCTTTGACATCAATTTGATGTTCAAAACCTTAAATTGGGGCTCTGATATCAACTGATATGAATCTCAATAACACAAGGGACGATTTAGGATCTTTAGGGTTAGATCCTTGTAGAGAATTTAGGAATTTAGTGATAAGGTGGAAGGAAAGAATCACTCTTTCCAAGGGAGGAAACTCACAAAGGATGTGAAAGTCCTTTGATATAGCTAAGTATTCTTGAATCACTCAAGAATTTAGGAGAATCACTCTCACCAAGATCAAAGAGCTAAACTCTAATATTTTTAAATAAAATTCAACTTGTTATATTTAATAAAAATATGGTTAAGCCTATATAGAAGCTTTGCCATCGAATTATAAATATTCAATAAAGGAAAATAAATGCTAATAATGATTCATTAACCTAGGAATTGAAAACTACTTAATGGAGACAAATAAAGACTAATAATTATCCATTAACCTAGGAATTAATACTACTTAATTACTGATTGTAACTGAAATTGTGGCAACCAAAAGTCAATCAGCTATGCACCCTTTTGGTATCACAAAAACTGATGACTAAGTTTCCAATTGGGCTCTTATTACAACTTGCAATAAAATCAAACTAAAGTCCATTAATTGATTAATCCAAAATACAATTTGGTCAACTAACAATACTTGTGTAAGAACTTCTTTTACTTCTCTTGCTCTAGCCCTTGTCATAGGTCATGTCCACATCATTTATGTTCCAACCATAAAGCACAATGTGTTGAGTATCGGACAACTACTTTAGAGAAGATATTTGATTAATTGGAGATTGGGGGAGGAAATGTTGAGAATCCTCGATAAGAATAAGACACCAATTTTTGAATAAATCTCTGAGCAAGAATAGATTTTTTTTTGTGTCGATATTTTAGTATCAAATAACTTGTGTTTTGTAAACTTGGTTGTGGCCTTTAAGGTATGGTCATATTGGCTTCGGTAGTTTGGGCCAACTTGTAGAGAAGAAGATGGTGATTGGATTGCTTTGAGTAAAAAAAAGTAAAGACATATGTGAAGTTTGTATGATAGGAAAATAAGCCAGAAATCCTTTTAAGGTGTGCATATAAATTGTATGATCTTTAGGCATGGCAACGGGGCGGGGCGGGGGCGGGTTTTGCCTCCCCGATCCCCGCCCCCGACTTTTTTAATCATCCCCGTCCCCGATCCCCGCCGGGGTTAGAAATTAAGTCCCCATCCCCGTCCCCGCTGGGTTTCGGTTCCTCGTCCCCGCCTCGTTCTCGATCTATATTATTTTTAAAAAGATAATTACATTTATAATAAATTAATTTTACTATCTATTTTTTATATATAAATAAATATTTATAATTTTATAATTTATAATAATTATTAATTAAATATACATTTTAATTTATTATATTTATATTAAAATATGTATGTAAAAGAAATATTTAATCATTTTTTATTTATAACATTATTATTATTATTATTATTATAATATCTGTATTCAAATATTTGAATACTTATAACATTATCATTATTATTATAATATTGTATTCAAATATTTGATTATATATATAAGTTAATTTATTTTTAAGTTGTCATTTAAAAATATGAAATATATAGTTTATAATGAAATATTTAATAAGTTAATTATTATTCAATTAGTTCAAAGTAATAAAAGTTTAAATTATCAATTCCTTTAATCCTTTAAAATACAATTATTTTATTAAGATAAAATTTGATATATGATAAATAAGAATAATAAGATAAACAAATGAAATAATAAAACCTAATAAATATAAATTATAAATAAAATAATATTAGTTACTATTAAGATTTATGTAAAATATTTAGAAAAAGATAAAGAATAAAAAAATTAACTTTGTGTTCATCAAATTGATTGAAAAGATTGAAAAAAAAACAAATTGATGAGAGAGATTAAGGAAATATGAAAAACTGCAAGGTATAAGAGAGAATAATGTAATAAATTAATTGATATAAAAGATTAAAAAAGACAAAAAAATTAAAAAATAGGTAGAAGAAAAATAAAAATTGGTAAAATATAAAAAAATGACCTTATATGTAATAGAAAAAGAAAGAAAATACTTTTAAAATATTAATATTTTAAAATTTAAATATAAAGTCGGGGCAGGGACGGGGTCGGGGTGAGAATTGCATTACTCATCCCCGCCCCGCCCTCGACTTTTTAAAGCTGGGAAAACCCACCCCGCCCCGGTCAAACTCGAGGCGGGGCGAGGCTGAGGCGGGTCGGTCCCCACAGGGACGAATTTAATTGTCATCCCTATTGATCTTATAAAAAAGAAGATCATCATCAGTAGATATGTTGTAGATGAGAAAGAATTTTAGAAATGGTATTCAACAGTGGAAAAACAAAGTGTTAGCTTCCATGATTCAGGTGATGCAAAAATCAAAGACAATGATCGATTGATTTCTGAAATCGAAGGTGGTGAAAATCAATCGACATCAGAAATTGAAGGTAGGAATTGATCGAGATTCGAGATTGAAGGAGAAAATCGATCAAGTTCAAAAATCGAAGAAGGCAGAACCAAGATCGAGTTTAAAAATCAAATAAGGTAGAAATTAATTGATTTCAAGAATCAAAGGGAGGAGAAATCAACCTTGATTGATTAGAACACTAGTGGAACTTAATGATTATGTGATCAATATTGATGATATTGTCACAACAGCTAGACAAATGATTGGAGAACAGGAGGATGAGAATCTTGTGCATTTAGCCTTGTATGCTGACATTGAGACTAAACCAATTTGCTTTGAAGAAGCGATCAAGGATCTCAAGTGGATCGAAGCACTATGGATTGAGAGTTTAGTGAATCGAGTCCTTGAAAGATCAGAGAAGATTATGACATTGAAGATTGACAATAAGTCAACCATCAATTTTAGTGTTCAAGGCTCTTGGACCCTGTTTCACGCCATACAATGCCTTCTTCAATCGAATAACATTATGTTATTCTTTAATAATCACAAACTCTGGTGATTGTGTAACATAAATTTCTTCATCCATTTCACCATTCAATAAGTCAACCATCAATTTAGCTAAAAATTCAATTCATCATGGGTAAATAAACATATTGGATTGATATTTTATTTCATCGTAAATGAAGTAAGGAAGAAGAAGCTGAGACTTGAATACTGTGACATGAAGGAGTAGCTGACGGACATTATAAGGAAATTTTTGAATAATCGAATGCTCAAAGAATTGAAAAAAAAATTGAATATTAAATGGATTGTTGAATTAAAGATTGTATTAGATGATAATTTAATAATAATAGTATAATGATTGATTCAGTTATATTAGTTAGTCTAACTAACTTTAACAACTTCTATTAATCCTGTGTCTCTACATTCTTGTTGTGTGTAGTTTTAATAAGAACAATGGTATACTTTAGTTTTTACATTAAATACAATATACATAAATGTATATTTTTTATATTTTGTAATTATTTTGGACTCCTTTTCTACTAACAAAAGGAAATTTTTTTGTCGATGTCATAGAAAAAAAAAGAGATTCTGTGTGATGGAGAAGAATAAAAAAAAAAAAAAGAGATGAGAAGAATTTGAAAAAAAATCATGAAAAATTATATAAATAAGAATAAATTCGTATAGCGAAAATGAAAAGTGAGAAATATATATAAATATATCTATTTTCTACGTGAGTTTAGATAATAAGTAAATATATAAAATATTTTTAATATTTATAAAATTATATTAATTTAAACTTTATATCGATTTATTTATAGTTAATGTTATATAAATGATGTAAAGTATTTTTTTATCCTATTATTAATTCCAATGGAATTCATTTATTTTCAATCGGATTAGTTTTATTCCACTTTTTAAATTTATTTTTAAAACTTAAAAACTAATAAAAATTAGTTGGTTCGGATTTTATTTTCTTCTAAATCTAAAGTAAATGTAGCCCTCGAACATGTTATAGATAATGATGATAGCATATAAGATAAAGTCAAGGATGTGTGATGGTGATGGATAGTATTAGGGTTATTATTAATGCTGAGGCAGTTCAGAGAAGAGTAGGTTTGAAAGTTTGGAGAGTTACTTTGGTCTGATGTGTAGAAATAGGTCATATTATTAGGTGGCTCATGACTGGAGGAATGAAAGGTAGAAGATTTTGATCTTGGTCTCCAACCATTAATGCAATTGTTTTATTTTAATAATATATATTTGTCTAATTGTGTATTTACAATAATTTTTATATAATTATTCAATCACAACTCATGTAAATTTTACTACAATTATCTTAAAATTTGTGGGAGATGCACCGTGCACAATCATTTTATATTTTTCAAAAGAAAGCAATATCGAAATTTTTGCCAAAATTTTCTCATAAAAGTGAATTTATTATTCTTCCATTGCCGAAGACGTATGATGTAAATCTCTAATACATGGAGCCTTTGGTGTGTTAAGGTCTACTACATGTACAATTATAAAAAAATTGGTATTTCTGTTGAGGACGATGAAAGTAATCAACACATGAGAAGCAATTTTTAAATTTTAAATGTTAGATGTAAAGAGTATTAAATTTCAGAAGTTGTAACGTATTTTTACGTAGAAATAAGATAAGTAAGTAATGTGAGCTTTTGTTGAATTTTTCTAAAAAAAGTAAGATGCCTATAAGCAAAGTATAAACCGATGCACGTTGATACATGAAAGATGAAAGGTTCAAAGAAATTACTCTTAACAAGGAAAGAGAACTTATGCTTTGGTGCAGTATCAAAGTAACCCAAAGAGAGGAGAGAATAAGAAAAAGTTTCAAAAGCTTCACTGCCACAGTTTGTAAAGTTTCCATGCATTAGATGCCTACAAAAACCATGATGACGGTCCAGTTTATTGCATCCCTCTGTCTCCAACATTTCCAGCATTTGCTTTGCAATACCCACTTGCCTCTTCTCAATGGCCACCATCATTTTAAGGTCTAATGAAGTGGTTCATGCCTTGGGCTTCTTCTGTATCTTGTTGATGGTGCACAATTGTGGTGCCTATGAATTTGTAGTTGGAGGCCTAAAGGGTTGGAGTGTCCCAAGTGACCCCAATTCCAACCCTTATAGTCAATGGGCACAAAAGAGCAGATTTCAAATAGGAGACTCCCTAGGTAAGTTTCTTACTCAAACTCAACTCATTGTGTCTTCTTCATTGGTTTTAACTTTAACCCAAGTTGGACAAGTAGGGATATTTTTCACTGTAGGTCTAAATCAAATGACATTTTTCAGTTGGATTTGTGGAATTAATTTTTTTGTTTAAGTATATTGGGTCTTTTCATATTTAATTGAATTGATAATAAAGACTGAAAATATTGTATTTTATCTTAATTACACATTATATATCTAATATATAAAGACTAACATTAATAACAGTCTTTTTTTTCTTATATAATAAAATAATAGCACTGTCTTGTTAGTACATACTTTGATATTTCTTAAAGTTTATTGAAAACAACAATTTAAAAAAAGATTTGCTAAATACGAGATGAGACCTACTAAAATTTATGATTTTCAATAAGTTTAGTTAATAATTGTTCAAAAGAATGTGTTGTTGGTATTTTTCTTACTATGGTTGTGAGTTTGTTTGTTGGCTTCTATAGAGATTTATTTGAAAATCATATTACCAATAATTTCTGTTAGATTCATAATGTAATTTTTCGAAGAAATAAACTTTATTATTAACTAGAGTTATGAACTAAATCAAAAGAAAATATTTCTTTCTCCCTTTACTTCTATGATAAAAAGAGTTGTACTTTTTTACCTTGTGGAAGTTTAAGAAACATTCACCCAGGGATCGAAACATGGTGTTGAACCTATCCTTCCAACACTAGAATGTTAAAACTTTGGAACTTGTAAAATGACACAATCAATCATTTCAATTAAAAAATCTCCGGTAATTCGTTATTGAAAAAGGTGGAGTTATGCTTCAATTTGCACTCTTGCTAATTTGCAGTGTTCAACTACCCTTCTGGGCATGACTCAGTGATTCAAGTAAGTAGCCAAGACTATGCCAGTTGCAACACTGATGCATACAATGAAAAATTCTCAGACGGCCACACAGTCATCAAGCTCAACCAATCTGGGCCTCACTACTTCATCAGTGGAAACAAAAACAACTGTCTCAAAAATGAGAAACTGGTGGTCATTGTGCTGGCTGACAGGAACAATAAATACACAAACACCAGCCAAACAAGTCCTTCTCCTTCTCCGTCTCAATTAACAACACAATCATTAGCTCCTTCCCCAACACCTTCTCAGCAACAGGTTCCATCTCCAAAGGCAGCACCTCCTCAGCAAGAGGCTGCTTCTCCACCATCTCCACCATCAAACCAAACTCCAGCTCCAGCTCCTGTTAGTGATCAACCTACTCCTCCATCTCCTCCTCACAATGCTGCTTCTTCAATCTTGGTCAGTTTTGCTGGTTCTGTTGGAGCATTTATGGCATCAGTTCTGGTTTTTTCTTTCTAAGTGGAGTCTGTGATGTTGTATGAGTGGTTGAGTATACTTTTTTAGTTTTACTTTTTTTCTTCAACAAATTCTTTTTTTTTTTTGTTATTTTTTATTATGGATTCCTATAATTCGAGTTCAGTATTATTGAACTGGAGTTTGGTCCAAAGTTGGATTCTATTTGATATTTGTTTGTGAAAACTGAGAAATAAGCTGACAATATATGTACCTTTTGTGTGATTCTTATTTGATGATTGTAAAAGATTTCTATATAAGTTGATCTTGAAATAAAAACCATTTGAAATTGTAAGAGTCACAAAATAAGCTGGAGTAAGGTACTTTGGTTTTGTTCCACACTGAATCATAAGTTAACATGCTGACACAGAAGCATAGGCAACAATCATATATCAACATCTATTTCAAATACTTCGTTATCATCTAATTTTAATTTTTTGATACATTGTATAATCACTACAAAATTTATATATTTTTTTAATATAAAAAGTTTTCTTTGTCTGATGTTATGTTCGCCACTCTTTTCATGTCCATGTGATGCTCCGTCCCTTCTTCTCTCTTATTGTGCGTGTAATCAAGTTTATACATGTCTGAATGAAACTTTTGGATAATATTTTAGGATAAAAATATAAAAAAAGTATTAATTTTTCAGAACTTCATGTTAATTTTGATGAGGCTAAAATAAAATTTTAGAAAAATTAATATAATTTTTTTACTAATTAATTTGATATAAATTAATTTTAATATATAAAATTAGTTTCCATCTCTGTTACTGCTCAACGAAAACATGACACATATTGAAGAGAAAACATGGCCTTATGTTATGTGGACAAGGGAGTACATCAAATTGTCATTTTAATCATTTACTACGTTTAGTCCCAATTTTACATTCCAAATCATTAATCATCCAATATTATAGCTTTTTTTTTTTTTTTTTTATCAAAATAGCAAACTAAAAAAAAATAGTGGAGGCAAGGATGCATTTATGGAGTTCCCAATCCATGTAATGATCATTTAACTGAATCAAAACTAAAAAAATTATATATTTATGCTTTATGGTGGATCTATAGAATCTGCCAAAAAATCCTCCTCGCTAAAGTGGATCTAGCGAAATCAAGAGTACTATGCTATAATATATTGTCAACAACTATCTATCAAAAATTTTTGCCAAGCTCAACTTTTTTCATTAGTCTAATAGTGTTGTGCAAAATCGAGTCCATAATTCCAGCAACCTGAAAACCACAAAGAAGAGTGGTCAACCATACAAATATAGGACAATACAGGTACTGAACGATAATATGAGATACAAACCGTGAAAACACCCCCAATAATAGCACAGACATTTGTAATGAAGTGAGAAAAGGACTTTGGGTTTTCCGTTATTAACACCTGCTCACAAAATATAAACATGTAAACCAATTGAAATTATGAAGGAAAGTGGAAACCTATCAAATCTATAAAATCTCAATTAGCAGACCTGCATGGGGGAGAGCTCAAGATGGAACTTAGCAACTGGAATGTGTAAGCTCTGTGACACACTGCTGTGCGCTGTGTACTCATACTCCTCGACTAATTTATAATCTTTTCTTGTTATGACCTCTGTTTTAACTATCTGAAGGTAATGCTCCATCTGTACCCACAGAAATCGAATAATGTGTAAAATAAATCTCCAAGCATCGGAGATGCTCATATTTTTCTGTAATTATCAGCATCCATACAGAAATAACCATGTTTAAAGTCATAAAAAAGATTAGAGTCTATTAGAAATTGTGTTATCTCAGAGGATACTAACACCTAATGAAGGAACTTCTAAATGGTTTTATCGCCTCCCACCTCCATGTTGCTTTCTTTTCATTTGTTATCCTTTTGGCTGCTTCAAAGAGATTACAAATGCATACAAGATAATCACTCAAACATATTTACGTTCAACAAGTTCACACATTTTAAATAGAAAAACTAAGAGTTAAGAAGGTTGAAGATTTAAGGAGGCCTTTCGAAATCAGTGATGTAACTTCACCATTCATAGGAGAGTAAAGCTTTTATTTATTATTGTACTGTTTATAGTATTAGTCTAGAAGCATTCAGTAGTGTATAAAAAAGTTTCAGATTATGAGTGAAGGAGCAGTGCTGAAATGCAATTTATAGAGAACATTAAGGTACTGTAGTCTAAAAAATGAATACACTTCATTGGGCCATGGGCATCCTTGCTATATCTACTGCATCTTACCCTGCCAGATGCAGGTCTATATAACTTGTCCATTAATAATCACATATGCTGATACAAACCATAAAAAGTCACATTCTCACGTAAAAAAGTTACTAAGTTAGAGATTTTTATGTTAAATATTAACTTACAGTAACATTTGCACCTAAATCACGTGTATTGATAAATGACAGGCCATTCAGCCTGTCATGGCTGCTGCCAACATAAGGTATCAAGCGCTTCACATCACTCATGACCCTAGGTGACACTTTCCTTCCAAAAGATAAATGGTTTATGACATGCGACATGTTCATTTGAGAAGCATCAAAGGAATGGGCATCAGATCTAGCTGAGATGATCAAGTTTCCAGGAACCTGCAGAGAGCAAAATAGCTTTTGTTTCAGCATAATATATATTTTATTTTAAAAGAATAGGAGGTCATATCCCTATGCAATTTATTTTTGTTGTTTTAACATTAAAAGCTAAAGCTTCTATTAATTGCAAAAGACAATTTAAAAGCAAGGTAGGAACCTAATGTATCTGTTTATTTCCAGAGCAACGTGAATCTTAGTTCATCCTCACACAAGTACTTGAGTTTGTTTACATTAAAATAGAAGGTTAATTTATCCATACAGAAGTGTACCTTCTTGACACGCACATATCCCTCAATTCTACATCCCCCAGATGATGGTGCTGGTCTTTTTATATTTGACGCAATATTGGATTTATCCTCCAAATGTACCTTCTGAGAATCTGTAGGGAGAGACGCCACTAAATTATCCATTGTCTGCAGGGGAGATATTTCATATGAGGCATGTTTCACTCTAATGGTGAAGAGGTGACTCTGATTACATTAAAGAGCATTGGGTAGATTCTTTCATCTTAAACTTGATTCAAATAGTGCTAATTTTTTTAAACTAAAATATATGTTTACCTTGACTAGGCTATCTGTGTCGCGATCTCCATAATAGGACTCGTGATCATGTTGTCCATGGTCACTTCTGAAATGGGAAAAAGATGACTAGATATGATAAAAAATCTAAACTTTAAAAACCCAATCACAGACCAAAGAGGTTCAATATTCTGAACGTATATAAACAATAGCTATCTAGATATTGATCATGTAGATTTCGTTGAATTGACATTGCCTGCAGATAGAATTATTCACTGCTATGATGTTCGAGGAGGAAAAGTTTGAGCAGCCGCTCCAAGTTACCTTTCATTACTACTATTTCTACTATATAGGACATAATTCACATCACAAATTCCCATATGATCTTCCTTCTAAAATTAAGCTGATCTACCAATTTCAAACTAACATCCTTGCATTCTCCGAATTTTTCTGTCATTACTAATGGCCCTTGATCAGTATTCCCATTCTAGACAAGATTTGAGGACCGTTCCCATAATTTTTGGAAGGAAAAAAAAAAAAAAAACTATATATTAACTCTGATGGAAAGAAACTGAGCAAATAAACAAGCATACAATACCTCAAAAATAGCATGCGTACAAGTATGCTGCCAAATAAAAGAAAGAAAAAGTGTAGAAGATCTTGTATTATTTACCTAATATCACTTCCTTTGCGAAAGATACGAATTGAAGGATACCCTTGTATATGATGGCTGGATATTGAGATGAATAGCAAAAAACAAGGAAAAATAGCAAAGTTAGCAAAAATGGCAAATGGAAATATCAAATTACAACGAGGAACGTGTACTTTCAATCAAGCTCAATTTATAAGAATGGTCAAAGCTCATCTCCATCTTTATAGTAACCTAAGCATATATCTATAAACCTATATCTTAAAATTTGTTTGTCATAATCCATGATCTTCTCATGATTCTAACTACCTGGGTGTCATTGACAAACAAGTATCTAAACAAATCACTCTATATGTTATCACTTGATGTTTTTATAATGAGTGGTACATGGTCAATTTATAGGCCTTTGGATATGGCCTCTCAACTACATGCATTTAATACAACTACTACCTTTCAACTACATACATTCAATACAACCACTATCTCTCAACTACATACATTCAATACAACTACTACCTCTCAACTACTACCTCTATAACCACTACCTCTCAACTACATGTATTCAATGTTTACCTAACAAAATCCCCCCATAAACTTAAATGCTTTTTTTGTCCTTCATTGCAAGCATCTTCTTGCTGTTCTCGAACAGAGTAGTTGGCAGTGGCTTTGTGAACATATCTGCAGCTTGTGCATCTGTGTTGAGCTGCTAAGGAAATCAGCAGCCTAATTGTTTCCATTCTCGTCACTGGGGCGAATACTTCGTCATAGTCTATTCCTTCCTTCTGCTTGTACCCCTTCACTACGAGTCGAGTTTTATATCGCTCAACTTCTCCTTCAGCATTTGTCTTCTTCTTGTACACCCACTTTACGCCGATAGGCCGCGCTCCTTTGGGCAAATCATTAAGCTCCCATGTATTGTTGCGTTCTATTGCCCCGATCTCCTCGTCCATTGCATTTTTTCACCTTTTCTCTTGCACGGCCTCTTCAAAACTTAAGTCTTCTGAATCTGCCAAGAGACATACAACATGCACTTCGTCAGTGGAGTTGTATATATCTTGTAAACTTCGCGCTCTGGGCTGTAGAGGTTCATCTTCTTCATCAGAAGTCTCATGATCTCTCACAGTATTTGGTGTATCAACTTCTGAGCTTCTACTTCCTATGGACTCCTTCTCTGGGTTGTTCCAACTCCACTCACTTTCTTCATCAATTTGAACATCTCAGCTCATGATGACCTTCTTAGTTATTGGGTTAAACAACCTGTACGCCTTGGTTTTTTCATCATACCCAATAAACACGTATTTTTTGCTTCTATCTTCGAGCTTGGTCCTCCGTTGAGCTGGAACATGACCATAAGCTATGCTACCGAACACTTTAAGGTGAGACACACTCGATTTTCTTCCACTCCAGACTTCTTGCGGTGTCTTCTCGTTTAGCTTAGCATGTGGACATCTATTTTGCACATAGATGGCACATTGCACTGCTTCTGCCCAGAACTCCTTTGGCACGTTTTTGCTTCTCAACATTGTTCGAACCATGTCAAGAATGGTTCGATTCTTCCTCTCGACAACTCCGTTTTGTTGGGGTGAGTATGGTGCTGTCAGAAATCTCCTTATCCCTTACTCCTCGCAATACTTCATGAGTTCGGATGAAATGAACTCGCCTCCTCAATCAGACCTAACAGATTTGATAGGCATGTCAGTCTCTTTCTCAACCATTGCTTTAAATCTCTTGAACACCTCAAACACCTCGGATTTCTCCTTCAAAAAATATACCCAGGTTTTTCTTGAAAAATCATCTATAAAAGAAATGAAATACCTTTTCCCACTGAAGGACTCAGGGGTAACCGGTCCACAAAGATCTGTGTGAATCAATCCGAGTTGTTCCTTTGCACAGTACTCGCTCGTCCTCGGAAATGAGGTCCTCGGATGCTTCCCGAGCACACACTCTTCATAGAATTTCTTTTCAAATTTCATAGACGGGAGTCCTCGCACCATCTCTTTCTTTATCAACTCAGTCAGCCCGCCAAAATGCACGTGGTCAAACCGAAAGTGCCACATCATTGCTTCATCCTTCACGTCAAGTTTCAAGCACCTCTCTTGGACTATCTTCAAGTCCAGCTTGTACATTATGTTCTTCTTCATTTCTACTCGGTCAATCAAACGATCCGACTTGTCTTCAAGTGTAGTACTCGGTCTTTCATCAAAACCGAGTAACTTTTCTCCATCAGCTGGCCCATATGCTCAATATGTTGTTTTTGAGATCGGGTACATAGTACACGTCTCTGATTTCTCCAACTCGGCTATTCTTCTGCAGGTACCAGATTGTACCTCTGCCTTTTACTGCCACCTTTGATGCATCTCCAAATGACACTTGTCCGGCCTCAACTTTAGTGAGCTCCTTAAAAAGGTTCTCGTCCCCGCACATGTGGTTACCTGCTCCTATATCAAGATACCAAATCGAGTTGTCAGAACAGCTCGGACTTAGCTCGACATCCGAACTTCTCGACATCATCAATACTCCTTCTTCCTCAGTGTCCTTAGAGAGGAGGTTTGTCTCCTTCTTCCTCTCAGATCGGCAATCCTTCGCAAAATGCCCAACCTTCCTACAATTATAACATTTGATACCTGAATAGCAGTCCTTAGCAAAATGACCGTACTTCCCACATTTGAAGCACTCAACTCCGGAATTGCTTGACTGACCACCTCGGCCTCTACCGTCACGACCTCTACCTTGTCTTCGACCACGCCAGTTTTGTTGACTGACTTGCTCCTTGCCTCTTTCATATTCTCCTCTGCCTCTACCACCTCGGCCTTGAGTGTTCTGAGCATAAGGAACATTCTTCTCCTTTAAGGTTGCCTTTGCTTGGAGTGCTTGATCAAAGGACTCCTCTTTCTTCTTCCTTCTCCGCTGCTCATGCGCTTCAAGCGACCCGGCAAGCTCTTCCACCGAGAGCACCGACAAGTCCTTGGACTCTTTTATTGCACAAACGATATTCTCAAAGTCTTCAGTTAACGACCTTAAGATTTTCTCCACCACTCGGCAAGTGGGCAGCGTCTCTCCATTTCTTCCGAGTTGATTCACCACGGTCTCAACACGGAAGATGTACTCGGCAACCCTTTCGACCTCTTTCATCCTCATGCTTTCAAGCTCGCCTCTAAGAGTTTGAAGCCTGACTTGCTTCACGCAATTATCCCCTTTATATGCCTTCTCCAGAATATCCCACGCTTCTTTTGAAGATTTAGCATTTGCTATCTTCTCAAAGCCGGAATCATCAATAGCTCGGTACAGTAGGTACAAAGCCGTTTTGTCCTTTACTCGTGTTGCTCTCAATGCAGCAAGCTGGGCAATCGTCTGCTCTTCAATATTCTCTGGTTCTTGGTGCCCATTTTCGACCACATCCCATACTTCCTGGGAACCAAGGAGAGCCTTCATTTGCAGGCTCCAGTTATCATAACTTACGCCTTTTGATAACTTTGGCAGGGGCATGCTGTTAGCTAAGTTGACCATCTCAAACAAACTCTCTAACTCTCAAACACTCTCTCTAACGCACTCAGACACTCAGGTTCTCAAGCTCTGATGCCAATTTGTTGACAAACAAGTATCTAAACAAATCACTCTATATGTTATCACTTGATGTTTTTACAATGAGTGGTACATGGTCAATTTATAGGCCTTTGGATATGGCCTCTCAACTATATGCATTCAATACAACCACTATTTCTCAACTACATACATTCAATACAATCACTATCTCTCAACTACATACATTCAATACAACTACTACCTCTCAACTACTACCTCTATAACCACTACCTCTCAACTACATGCATTTAATGTTTACCTAACAATTCCTATATGCAATCATAGAATACATTACATAATATGACAAGAATGTATATATCTGTTAGAATATATGGAAATATCCAATGCCATCCAGATCATATCGTAGATTATCTTTTAGTATTGGTTTACCATATAGTAGGAACGGTGGTTAGGATAAATAAGGGTTAGTGCTCTAGGTTTTATGATCGTATCAACGCACATCCAAATAATTAAGACTCTAGTCTCTTTTCTCTATCTCCTCTCTCTCTATATTGTGGTTAGTAGACGCATAATGCACATTATTTCAATTCAATGTTTAATATTTAATACATTTCACCTCCCATTGTTTTCTTTTTCCTCCATTTTGAAAAATCTGTCCCACTGCCTTAATTTCCCCAAAGTAATAACTAATAAGTGATGG